GCACAGCAGAGGGGTACCCTCTACTGCGCGCCGTGCGCCTTCAACATCTGTATGGTTGCCTCCTGTCGGTTCTGCGTGGCCGCTGCCAGGGGCGTCATGCCCTGGGCATTGGGCTGGCTCACATTCACCCCGAGCTTCAGGAGGAATTCCACAAGCTCCTTGCGGCCGTAGCCTGCAGCGTAGTGCAGGCCGCTGTTGCCAGAGCTGTCCACGGCGTACGGGTTCGCCCTGCTGTCCAGAAGCTTCTTCACAACCGCGATACCTGAGCGGAAACCATGGCAGCTTCCATTTCTTCGCCACTGGCAACCCAAAAGTAATATGGAAACCCACTACAAAAGCAGTTGTCCTTTGCACTTTGCTGCAGCCTAGCTGCGGTTGGCACCGATGGCGTAACCCAACGGAGTGATGCCCTTGAAGTCCTGGGCGTCCAAAGGCTTCTTCTTGTCCAGGAACTGCTGCACGGCTGCAAGGTCGCCCTTTTTGGCGGCCTCGTGCAATGTCAGGGAGGTGTCTTCAATCTTCTGAAGCACCGGCTGGAGATCAGAAGGCAGGCCACCCATCTTCTGGGAGATCTTCAGCATCAGTTCTTCCTCGGACATTGATGCTGTAACACCGAAGAAAACTGTACATCCGTTATTGTTTAAGACTCTCGTGCTTTATGCGTAGTGAGGACTTCCCACTTGTTTGGCATATTCCCTCATATCCCAATAGAATAATGTTGTACAAAACCTAAACGACGCGACACCAACAACAAATTGTACCGCTCACGTTCACAGGCTCATCCTGGTAATACTTCATGGCCGCTTCCATGCCATTCTTCTTGATGTCCTCACTTGTGCGAAAGAATCACTGGAGCTGTCGAACAAAACTGGGGACTTTAGGACATGCTCTGGTTATCACTTGCGTGGTTTCCCACCCCTACCCTAACGCCCTTGAAACCCAACACATACATACCTATACCTCTACGCCACTATGATACACGACCCCCAACAAAAAAAAACACAATGAGGCGGTTTTTCTACCTGTGTCCTCGAACATGGCAGCCAACTCGGGATCTGTCTCCAGCGCCTTGACCTGTGCCAAGGGATACGAGGATTACTCAAAATGTATATGTAACAATCCTTGGGGTGCATTATGGGGTTTCTCAAACATTGGTGCCGGTGGGAATGTGCGAATCACAATCGATTGATTGCAAATGCTTGATAGCAGTCCCTCTAAAGGCCTGCCTTTGCTATTAGACAAAGCTGTTTGCAATTGCTTGTGGTGTTTTGTTTTGTGGCAATCTGCAAAAATTAGGATGACACCAATGTAGACCCTGATATACTATAATCTTTATTCTGGGAACTCCCGAAAAAAGGACCCCTAATCTATTGAAA